TGTTTGTTAGAATCCCTATACAACATGTAGCTTGTGCAGTTTACACAGCTCAGGCTAAGGGTGTATTTTAAAGCAAGTATGGCTACCTATCTCCTTTCCGTGATCCAATCAGAGCCCTGAACAGATGTGGGCCAATTACTCTTTGCTTTGTAGTAAACAGTGTGTTTGATTTTGATCTGTCTATTTACTTTATGGACTGGTTATAGCCATAGTTTTACTTGCCCTTTTGCTGTAGGATGCATTTCATAAGCGTGGTGGTATGGGGAGGTTTACAGTCGACATTATAAGGGCAAGATGGGGGAATTTGTAGTAAAAGTAATGTTCAGTACCTCAGTCAATGTCAGATTGCTTGCCTGTTTCGTAGGGAAACATTTGCTGAAAAAATAGATATTTTAGGAGGTTGCTTGGATGAAAATACCTTGAGCCTTATATATTTAGTTCTTCAGCTTCTCTGCCTGACTGCTTCAGTAATGATGCAGCCTCAAGCAGAGTCCCTGTTCTGAGGTGTTATCTGAACAACAGGAGGCTTTAATTTGCTGAGGATCGCTGGACATGGCTCACGCTTTTTCTTGTCTTGTCGCTTACTTGCATTTTGCCCTAAGCATCAAAGCTTTCAGATGCAAATCGTCCCAATGTTATTCTTTTGATGGCCTATCCTTCCCCATTTACTTTTCAAAAATTACATGCAATAATAAAATATATATTTGAACAGAGAGGCTAAATTAAGTGTCTATGTGTATTTAACCTTCACACTTAATTGTGTAGCCCATTATGAGGTGTTGATGCTTTGTTCCCAAATTCTCTACATGAAGTGATGTATATTAAAGTGTATTTATACTTTTTTGGATTAATTAGCTGTGACCTTACGAACTGCTGTCCTTGTTTAATTGGTGTCTCCAAAGCACAGTAATGGTGTAAATCATCTGATAATGAGATTCAGGACTGGTTGCAGACTTATATAATAGCATAATTTTGATCACAGCAAATAAGATTTGTTGATTCTATATTGAGTTATAGATGGTATGTTCTTTTTTTTCCAGATGTATAAAAGCAGCTCAGAAATTCCTTATGTACTGCAGCTTTCTAATGTATTTCAGATTTTATAAAAAAAAAAACAGATTTTGCTGTTGAATATAAACGTATCAATCTTTGTTTTGCTTAAATCATAACTAACCAGTCAAGCTGAATCAGTATTTTCCCATGAGAGAACGTATTACCTCTTCATGGTTCATTCAAGTAACATTATAGAACCATGGTTTGGCTCTATATCAGAATGCAGGCAATATTTTATAGTAAAAAAAGGGAAGACTAGATTTTTCTCATTATAATAATAATATTAGTATTATGCTGAAAATTAATAACAGAGGAATAACAGGAATAACAGAGGAAGCAATTCTTCTAAAAGATGTGATTCTTTAAAAATGAATTCATGCTTTCTCATAAATTAATCATTGAAAATTTAAGAATTTAGGCACCCCCCCCCAAACATTTTACAAATCAAAAGTACAGTGCGTATTTTGTATTTTTGTGATACTATTAATTGTTTCTATATGGCATTTATTTTGCAAAAGTTGAAAACTAAAAGCAGCTATTAATATGCCACTGAAACTTTTTAAAAGAGAATTAGAATACAGTTACATATTTGTACAACATTGCATTTTATTGTCACAGTGATCCCCAACCTCATATTGTAAAATGAGTTAGATTAATATTGCTTTGATTACAATCATCAAAAGAATCTTTCTGAAATAATGACTTTGAATTTCAGAAAACCTTTGGGCAAGAACCTGTCACACTTGCAGTTTTATGGTATGCCCCTAAACTCTAAAAAATAAATACGTATTTGGATGCATTTCCATCTTTAAAATAATCACTTGTGAACAATTCAGTGGTGTAGTAAATGTTTTCAGTCCAAGCCAGGCCTCATACTCATTTCTATTTTCAGAATAATATCATGGGTATCTAGGCTTATGTCTCGGAAAGAATCAAGGAGCTTTTAACAAAGTGCTTTTTGTTGTCTCAGAAACTAAAACAGCTGCATGTAGGCCAAACAATAAAAATAAACTCCTGTGTAACTACCTTCTAACATACAAGAGTTCTGTAGAGAGGAAACTAGGATATTTAGAGGAATAAAGTGACTCATTGTGCAAGAAAAAACAATGCATAAGGGAAATCTATGGCTTGGAGGTGCATGTGTTACCTTTCTAGACAGAAATCAGAAACATTTTAAAAGAAAAATAAATGGAATGAGGTTTAATACTGACCACATTGTATTAATATAACTTTTCACAGCCAGGCCAACACCACAAATAATTAAGCCAAAGGACTTCATAGTTGCACCTTGACACAATTTGTCCTATGAATAATTACAACATTGTGTTTTTTATACTATCATTATGATTTCCATTAGATCACTAATGGATTAATTGTACTAATTAATTGTAATTATTACTAGTAATATGAATTTTGAAGCATCTAATTGTTTCAATTATTTATTTGTTTGTTCAATTTATATGGCCACCCATCTCAAACATATGACTCTGGGCGGCTAACAGGAAATAAAAACAAGATTAAAAAAAATCAAAATAATAAATAATAAACATAGAAGCTGAGCTAGACAACATAATCAACAACATAAGACTATGAATGTTAGTAGGGGCGGCAAGTCTAATCTCTGAGGAATGATATCTTAGAGGGCAACCAACATACAGAGGAGTTTCCTCCAGATGACACTTGCCAGATGACACTTCTTAATGGATGGGGCTCTGACCATGCCTTTCCTACCAGGTCTCAGAAATGAGGAGATACTGCTGGGAAAGACAAATTTGCAAATAATCTGGCCCCATGCCATGAGGGGGCTTACAGCTCACTACTAACATCTTGAATTGAATCTTGAAGCATACTGGCAACCAATGCATTTTGCAGAGCAAAGATGTCACGTGAGCTGAATGAAAGGTGCCCATAAATACCTGTACTGCTTTCTTCCGCATCAGCTGATGCTTCCAGATGCTCTTCAAGGACAACCTATGTAGTCAGATTGGGAGGTGGTAAGGACATGATGATTGTGAACAGGGTTTCTTGGTCCAAGAATAGGCACAACATATAGCTGTATTTTCCTAGCCTTGGCTGCCACCTGCTCTTTGAACAGGAGCAGTGAGTCCAGGAAAGTCCCCAAATTGCATATAGTTTCTGTTTGGGATTGTGTAACCTCATCCAGAAGAAGAGATGGAAGGTCCCTAAAACCCAAAGTCAATTGGTCTTGCTAGGATTTAGCTCAGTGGTTCTCAACCTTTTTAATGCCGCGACCCCCAACCGGTCGTAAGTTGAGGACTACTCAACCGGTTGTAAGTCAAGGACTACTCAACTGGTGCAGCACCGTTTGCAGAATGGGACTTTTGGCGGGCTCAGCAGGGCAGAGACAGCCTGGACAATTCCTATTGGCTTTTGAAAGCCAACAGAATTAGACTCTATTCAAGAGAGTCTATTCTATTGGCTTTCAACAGCTAAGGAAAAGGGGAAAAAATGGCGGACTGCGTTGTTTGGCGACCCCCATGAAATGGTTGTTCGACCCCAAATGTGGTCCCGACCCACAGGTTGAGAACCACTAATTTAGCTGAAGCCTGTTGTTCAACATCCAGACTCCTACAGCCTCCAGACACTAAGATAGGACTCCATGACATCACTTGGAGATATAAAGTGTGTATTGTGGATATATTGATGATACTTCATTTGGAACCATTAGATGCCTTCACCCAGTAGCTGGGTGAAAAGCTAAAATAAATTTTTAAAGAAGTCTTAACAGCACTTAGTTTTGGCATGCTTCTATTCTACCAAAGTTTTTCAAGTGGCTTCTACCCACCCAGTACATTATACCATCTCATCTATTGAGATTCTCAATCATTCAGGTCATGCTTCTCTCAAAGGCGCTTTTCCAAATGGCAACTGGACTTCCTTGTTTTTCTCCTTGAAAATGTTTTGCTTCTCAAGAAGCTTCTTGGATGAGCAGTGAAACATTTTCAAGGAAAAAACCAAGTCCAATTGCCTTACAAAAAAGTACCTTTGGGATAATACCATCTCCCATTCTTGAGATCAGTGTGGGAGGGACTAGAGAAGGGTCTCAGCTTATCAGGGGGCAACTGTAATCCTGTTAAAAATTAAGGAAGAATGTAAAACTGTGTATTTCCATAGGAGAATCTGATTTAGGCAAACAGTGGTAGGAAGGCATTGTTTTTGATTTGTTCATTTGCTATTTATGATTGCAAGCTGCCTAGAATCAAGTCTAGGCAGCATATATATCTATGTATATAGTTATAAATAAATCAGGGATATGTTTGCTGTATACGAAGATAATAGTGAAATATCTATATTTCCCAAAATCCTCTGAAAAGTATATTGTAAATTAGTACTAATGCTTATTACAAGAGAAACAGAGATTTTTATGGTTTGTTTGTTTGTTTATTTATTTATTTAATCCCACCTTTATTATTTATAAATAAATCAAGGTGGTGAACATACCTAATACTTCTTCCTCCTCCTGTTTTCCCCACAACTACAACCCTGTGAAGTTTGTTGGGCTGATTTTCAATGCCTAAGGCAGACTAGAACCCACAGTCTCCTGGTTCCTAGGCCAGCACCTCAACCATTAGACCTAATTGACCCTGTTATGATTTGAAAATCTGTTACATGTTAGGCAGCCAATAGAGAGTGGTTTGAGTGACCTTGCACTTAGCTTAATCTGGAATTGGAGCAAAAAGGCTGGCAGAGGAGTGATTCTGTTCCTTTTTTGTAGAAACCATGCAGCCTGTTAGACAAGGGAAACCATTTTTCTGCCCTCATTATTGAAATGTATTTCTCTAGTGTTCTTCTCCAGACTCCCAACAGATTAATGCAGCTTTTTCCCAAGCTAGCAAACTTTGCAGATTCATTTAGAAAACTGATTTTTATAAACATATTCTTGACTTTAATTGTTTTTCTTTTGTTTTTTTCTCCTTATTCTGCAGATAAGTTTCATGAATTCAAAAGAAACTTACAGTGAATTCTGGGTACCTGGATTTGTTTTCTAGTGTATTTGTAAGTACTATTTTTTAAAAACTATTTTTCTATGCTGGATTAAAAAAAATCAGGTTATAAAAATGTTCAGAAGTTTTTGGTTCTAGTATTCAAACTGACATACATAGAATCAACCATGGTTAAAATAAGTATTATGAACCAGAGATGCAGTGATGAATGGAGACTTACTGAAAGCCTCTTCTTCCCTCTGATGCTCATATTGGAGTATTTACTTGAAAATGGATCTTTACTGGCTAAATTAGGACATTTTTCATTAAATTTGGACATTTTCCACTGGGGGACTTCTCAATATGCATCTTCTTCTTTTATATCATGGGTGTCAAACTCGCTGTGTCACATGATGTGTCACGACTTTTTTTGCATTGCCGGAGCTGGGGTGGGCGCAGGCTACACATAATGCAACCAGCCCACGGGCCCAGCAGTTTGACACCCCTGTTTTATATGCATGAGGACTCTGCAACAGTTTGAATTCCAAGGGAATCCAGTACTTTGGAGAGCATAGGGATATACTTGTAACCCCAATGACAACTCCTTAAACTAAACACATGTTTTCTCTGAGTTGTGCCGCTATTGCAGAGGGAAGTCACGGAATCCCAGAAAAAGATGCAGTTGCTTTAAATGCTCCTTTTATGTTGTGAGGCACCTTCTTCCTTTAAAAATAGAGCACCACATATCTCTAGAATGTGGAATCAAATAGAACTATCACAATTGTTTTATCTCAAAGGTAATCTGGCAAGGATGAAAAATTAATTGATAAAACATCAATGCTGTACTTCCCCGTGTATTGAGTTTCTCATTGGTTGTGGCTAAATATGAGAAGAAAGAAGTAATCAGTCAAATATTATTTAGGTAACAAGACAAAGCCATGTGTTTTACACAACAGTGAACAGGAAAGCATTGTATGGAGAAAAAGAAACTTAATTTGCTTTAAAAAAATGTAAAGTCTCATTGGCTTCTGCCTTCAGTCATTTGAAATGATATTCACATAATTTACTATTTAGGAGAGCAGTTCTCAGTCTTCCCATAAACAATTTGTTGTTGTTGTTGTTGTTAGTTGTGAAGTTGTGTCCAACCCATCGCGACCCCATGGACAACGTTCCTCCATGCCTTCCTGTCCTCTACCATCTTCTGGAGTCCCTTTAAGCTCACGCCTACTGCTTCAGTGACTCCATCCAGCCACCTCATTCTCTGTCGTCCCCTTTCTATTGCCCTTAATCTTTCTCAGCATTAGGCCCTTCTCCAGTGAGTCCTTCCTTCTCATTAGGTGGCCAAAGTATTTGAGTTTCAACTTCAGGATCTGGCCTTCTAAAGAGCAGTCGGGGTTGATCTCTTCTAGGACTGACCGGTTTGATCACCTTGCAGTCCAGGGGACTCGCAGGAGTTTTCTCCAGCACCATAGTTCAAAGGCCTCAATTCTTTCACGCTCAGCCTTTTTTATGGTCCAATTTTCACAGCCATACAACAGGGAAAACCATGGCCTTGACTATATGTACAATGTATCAATTTCACTTGCTCACTATAACTAGTTCTTGACTTACAACCATTTGTTCAGAAATCATTCAAAGTTACAACAGCTTTGAAAAAAGTGATCCTTGCATCCATGACCCATTGCAGTACCCCTGTGGTCACTGATCAAAATTCAGGCACTTGGCAACCAGCATGTATTTATGATGGTTGCAGTGTCCAGGGATCATGAGATCCGCCATTAGAGACCTTCCCAGCCAGCTTCTATCAAGCAAAGTCAACAGGGGAAGCCGATTTGCTTAATGACTGCATATGTCACTTAACAACTGCAGTAATTTGCTTAACAATTGTGGCAAAAGATGTAACTCACTTAACACAACCACTCTGCTTAGCAATGAAGACTCTGGTCCCAAATGTGGTTGTAAAACTACCCCTGTAGCAAGTGTTTCTACTCCCTAATATAACAATGTTCCCTGATGCTTGCTGAATTCAAGAGAAAGGAGCATCTTATTTTCTATACATCCTCCTTTCCCATGAAACTTTAGGGCAGTGGTTCTCAACCTTTTTAATGTCGTGACCCCCAACCGGTTGTAAGTCAAGGACTACTCAACCAGTCGTAAGTCGAGGACTACTCAACTGGTGCAGCACCATTTGCAGAATGGGACTTTTGGTGGGCTCAGCAGGGCAGAGACAGCCTGGAGAATTCCTATTGGCTTTTGAAAGCCAATAGAATTAGACTCTATTTAAGGGAGTCTATTCTATTGGCTTTCAAAAGCCAATAGAATAAAAGGGAGTAGCACAGCTAAGGAAAAGGGGAAAAAAATGGCGGACTGCGTTTGGCGACCCCCGTGAAATGGTCGTTCGACCCCAAATGGGGTCCCAACCCACAGGTTGGGAGCCACTGCTTTAGGGGCTTAGAAATACTTAAGCAATGCCCTAGAAGTATATAGTATATCTCAGGGGTAGGCAACCTTGGCTCTTTTATGACTTGTGGACTTCAACTCCCAGAATTCCTGAGCCAACCATGCAGGTTCAGGAATTCTGGGAGTTGAAGTCCATGAGTCATAAAAGAGCCAAGGTTGCCTACCCCTGGTATATCTCATCTGGCATTTGAAGATACCAAGTAAAGCAAAAAGATGGGAATGCAATGAGTTTCTGACCCTTGTCTGCTTCATTAATAAGCATTTACTAAAGATAACTGAAATATAAATTATTTCTCTCATTTACCATACATACATACATTCAGCAACTTAAAATGTAATTGGAGAGGCACATTTTAGTTGAGAACTCTGTTTATGCCAAGGAATTTACTGTAGCCATATGTAAGAATATTGAGTCAGATTAAATGAGGATATAATTAATCTCCTAGAAGAGCAGACCATACTATTCATATTTCACCTTTGATATGTGCTGATCTTCTGGTCCTATTGCAAGGAAGATACTCTATGTAGAATTCCAAAATGCCATTTTACATCATGACATCATTTGACAGTGGTGGCGAACCTATGGCACGGGTGTCAGAAGTGGCACTCAGAGCCCTCTCTGTGGGCATGCACGCCATCGCCCCAGCCTCACCACTCCCCGTGGCCCCCTCCTCACCAGCAGCCCCCAGGAGGAAAGTCGCCCCGGGCGCAGTCTGCGAAGAGCAGCACATTCAAGGACATGGCAGCCGGGCAGCGGGTACAAGACTCTGCCCTCACACCCCATCGCGTACAGATGATGCTGCGGGGCACGGACAGAGGGCATGGCTGCCATGATGCTGCTGGATCACCTGGGCAATCTGCTGTTGTGGGCCGTGGAGTTGGTGGGTGGCCCTGCGGGCAGGAGAGGTGGCAGGGCAGGGGCGAGGTGGTTTTTGGGCACTTGGTCTCTAAAAGGTTCTCCATCACTGGGCTACTAAATGGGTTTTGGGGATTTATTGTTATTGTAAAGTTCCCGTGGATAGAGTAACTACATTGTTGTACACCTCTTCATTTGGCAAATAAATTTTGATCCTTTTATTGGCTGTTATTAAGGCAGTTCTGTGGCAGAACTGGATTTAGGTTGAAGAACTAGACTATTTTGTAGAGTTGTCATCTGCTATTCCATATCACCATTTCCCCCAGATGATCACAAGAATTCTAGAATTCTTCCAGGAATAGTTTCTCAACTATAGTGCCATTTTGGGCAACATTGTAAATAGTGATGAACTTCATCAACTAAGAGACGGATGCGATAGGGATATGGTCTTCCTACTCCGTCAGCTACCTCCAGTGATGAGTGTCCCAATTAGGATCCCTAGCCAACTGGCAAAGCCAAGTTTTAATACCCTTCCAGAGGGCCAAAAGAGTGGGAACAGTTCTCATTTTCAGTAATAGAATGTTCCACAAGGATGGGGTCACAGTGGAAAGGGCTCTTCTCCTTGAACCCATCTACTGGAATTCCTTAGCAGACGGGATTCGTAGCAGGCCTCTTCCACTGGCGCAAGTGGGGAGGGCTAGTTAGGGAAAGGCGGCTTCTAGCATACTCTGGACCCATGCCATGTGGGGCTTTAAAGGTAACAACCAACACCTTGAATTGGGTCTGGAAGCAAACTGGAAATCATTGCAGTTCATGCAGTAGCGGTGTTATATGGGCATGGCTAGGGGGCTCCCAGGAATGTGCACACTGCTGTATACCAGCTGCAGCTTCCAAATACTCTTCAAGGGTAGCCCCAGGTAGAGCAAGTTGCTGTTATCCAGCTAAGAGATGACCAGGGCATGAGCGACCATGTGCAGGCCCTCATGATCCAAGGAATGGTGCCACCGTTGCAAGAGTTTGGGATTATTGCTCATTGGAAAACTTCTGTGGATGCTTGTGACTGATCTGTCAGTATTTCTATATTATATCAGAAAATACGTTTTTTGTACCAGGTAAAGGTAAATTAAATTACATATTTACCTTCATAATCTTTGGGATACAAATGGAGATTGTAGTGACAGGCAAGCGAAGCCTCTTCACTTTATGAAAATAATTGTAGACTTTTTTAAATAAAATGATCCTGACCTTGAATGAATTCTTATTGAATTGAATTTATTAACTGGAATCATAGATAGTTTAGTTTCCTCCTTTTCCTTTTTTGTAGTGTGCGTATGTGTGCACATATTTTAGTGCTTTGTGCCCCCTCCAAATATCTCAAGGGGCAATTGATTCATCTGCTAGTATAAAAACAAAATCACTTAGCTCTAGCCATTCATTCATCATAGTATATGGTGCGGTAAAAGGTTAACGGCTCAGTGGATGGATGGGATCTATAATAAATAACTGTGCTGTTTAGAAGCCTGGTGATAGAAGTTTATGGTAGGTAAAAGAGAGCTTTTACTCACTTAGCCCCTTGTTTGATCAAGTCAATACTAGGGGGACTATTTAGAAATCTGATCTGAATATATGTGATGAACTCTATATGAATTATTTTCTGTATATTGTTTCCTTTTTAAAATTTCATTAAATTGACCTAAATGTAAATAAATAATTTGTGCATAATGTGAACATATATGTAAGACTGATTGAACCTACAG